AAACTGGTATTAACTGAGTAGCACCTAAGTGGACACATAGGTACTACAGTAATAGGGTATTGGGCAGGTGGGAGGGGGTAAGGGGACGGGTACATACATACATAATGAGTGAGATGTGCACCATCTGGGGGATGGTCATGATGGAGACTCAGACTTTTGGGGGGAGGGGGAGAAATGGGCATTTATTGAAACCTTAAAATCTGTACCCCCATAATATGCCGAAATAAAAAAAAAAAGGCCAAAGAAAACTTTTTGTGCCTTCCATTAAAACAACATAGTTTTAACATTATAACATATTGGAAAGACCACTTATCCTGCTTCTCATTGCTTCAGAGAACGAGAAAATTAAAAAGCCATTTATTACCACCAGCTAGTTCCTTTGTGTTCCATGTGTAATAGAAAAATTTCAATTTAGATGCTCAAAAACTTTTAATTTAGCACAGAAATAGAAATGCATCTTTCAGCACCATTCAAATGTCATTTCCTTAGGCAACAGCTTGGAGTCTTTCACTTGGAAAATAAGAGAATTCTTGGAAAGGAGACTTGTTCTCTGGCTCAATTTTATTCAATGACAGCATGATTTAGACAGGGAATGGGGCTGTTACCTCTCTCTAGGTCTTAAAAAGACTTGACAAGATTTACTTCCACAGTCACCTGATTTAGCACCTCAGCCAAACTACCTAAATACAGAATTGGTGCTACAGGTTTTCTACCACGTGACAGGGACTTATTCCCCAGCATCAGTGCTGTGGCATGATGCTGAGCCTTCCTCGTGCTCATTCTACTCACCCAGTAGTCATTGTCACTTAAATCCTCATAAACATCCAGGGCTCACTAATGAGGTGCTATGGATAGGACAGAGAAGTTCCTTTATTAAGGACCTTTATTATGATCTTCACATAAATGATCTTAAGAAGGAATTGACATGGAAGTTGGGCATATATGGTGATAATAATGGATGGTATTTTATGCCAAATAAACAACAAACAAAAAACCTACCAATGTTACTCAGTAGGAGTTCAGCATTTTATAACAGAATGTGTCAGGTCCTCTCTCTGGACTAGTCACAGAGCTTTGGTTTCACCTTCTGTAAGACAACACGATTTGTCTCATAGGAGCAAACACTTTGGATCTGGCAAACTTGGCTTCTACTCTTGCTACCTGCTAAGCTAGGAATTCTGACCCTTAATTTAATTTCCTTTAGAAATAATCACAATACCTAATTCTCAATGTCACAAAGTTTAAGAGAGATAAGACATGGAGCCTTATATGTAGATGGAACTCAATCCATGGTATTCATTATTTAAAATACCCCGATGAGGCACCTTTTATGTGCCAACTCTGGGCTGAAGTATACACATGAGTAAGGCCAACACCTTGCTTTGAAAGCACACTTGAAACTTAGTAGGAGAAGCAGGCATGGAAATAAATCTTGGTGATTCTCAGTCCTGGGTGCTGTTATAGTTATGTGGGGAAATGGGATGGCAGCACTGAGCAGTGTCAGCTGTGCTGGAGACATGGGGAGGCCTAACATGGGATGCCTCACAGGAGAGGTGTTTGATGTGTCTAGAAAAATACTAGGTATAAAGATGATGGTGGCCATTTGTGGGTAGGCTTTTTTAGGATGAAGAACACTCAAAACACTTACCTCTCCATTGTTTAAAGCTTTAAGTTTTAGCTGTACTTTCCTTCCTTGGTTCTTTCTACTGCAGTTCTCAGAATTCCATCTGGCTAGCCTTTCTGCTTGAGGAGGTGAAAGAGCCAGACGGTGCTTACCTGTAATTTCTTAGTCATAGTAACACTATAACACACTGTCTGTGTAGCCAATAATATGGAAAGGATACAACCTGCTTGGTCCCAAAGAGAAGATGTTTTTCAAAATACTAGTTATATTAATAATCACCATCAGGTAGCTCCTAATTGGCAGGTACCCCTATCAGTGGCCACCCTGCAAGTATGGCCTAGACATTGATATCTGGAAATAACAAAATTCAATTGTGTCAGTAGATCTCGACTATATTTGTCTTAGTTCACTGTATTTGTATTAGTAGAGTAAAATGGTGGCTACATTTTGGAAAAGGCTCCATTTGCTCCAAATTTACATGCTGAGAGAAACTGGCTAACTTTGCATGTGTAATATCAAAGAAGTCAAATTCTCTGAGCACTTCATGGTATCATTTGCATTTAATTTGTCATTAAAAGTTTAAAAGGGACATTATTGGGATAATTTAGAGTATAATAATAAAATAATTAGTTATTAGGCAGTGATAAATAAAGCGAGATTACTGAATATTTCTTTGTTTTAATTATGTGGGCTGGGCTAATGGTGAGGAAGCCATCAGTTACTCATTAATCTTGGTTAGTGTCATTGATCTTTACTCAAGAAGAACTCTTGGTACTTTCAACACCAGTGGAAGATAAATGGTAAAGGAATGGATTAGACAGTTTGCACAAAAGAAATACAATTAGCAAATAAGTGTATTGAAAAAATAGTCATTCTCACTAATAAACAAAGAAATGCTCATTACAAATATGAAGTATTTTGCATCTATTAAATTATTAGGGTTTTTAGAAAATCTCAGTGCTAGTAAGACTATGATAAAATTGTAGAGATATACATTTTTAGAGGCAATAAAATGATACAAAGCTTTCAAAAAGTAATATTAATAACATAAATCAAGAACCTAATAAATGTTTCCATTTTGGGAAAGGCATCTAAAGGAAATTGTAGAATAAGAAAAAAGTAATATTAGCATAACATGTTCATTGCAGCACTAATTTATAATATTAAAACAATAGAAATAACCCAAAATATTCAACTATCAAAGGGTGGTTAAATAAATTATGTCTTCATAGGAAGTAACATTATATAACACCAAAATAATAATTATGAAGAGTCTATCAGAAATGCTTACATTTTAATGTTAAGAAAGACACAGAAAATGAAATTATAGATGCTCAGCATATATATAAAACTATGTGAAAAACATGTGAACATATACAGTCAGTAGGGTAGAGTAGAACGTGAACACGCTTAGGAATAAGATGGTTTTAGTTTGAATTCTGGCTCCACATTTGCAAGCTATTGATTTTTGATAAGCTATTTAAGTTGTATATGTTTTTTCCATACATATAAAATGGGAATATTCATATCCACCTTCTAGGATTGCTATGAGAATTAAATTAGATACATCTGTAAAATGGGAAGGAAGGTAATGGAATCATGGAAGAATATTTTTACTTTATCTTTTTCCCACTAATTTTATAAGGCTTTTATAATGGAAAAATATTTTAATTTTATGTTTATCACCAAAGTTATATGCAGAAATATACACCTTCTGGCATTGACTATATAGCTAACTGAAGTAACCTAAATAATTATTCTTATTTAGTACTAAACATCTCAAAGTACACACTCTGCTAAATCATTTAAGTTTATTTGTTTAACAAATACTTACATGGCTTTTACCATGTTAACAGCCATTGTTCTAAACACTGTATTCACTGAATCCCTTTAACAACCTTATGAAGAAAGTACAATTACTAATATTACATATGGGAAACCAACATGCAGAGAGGTTTAAGTAACTTGCCTAAGGTCCCATTGATATATATGGTGGAGCCAGGAACCTAACTCAGGCAATCTGGCTACATGGTCCAAGTCCCAAATGCTGTGGTATTTTCCAGCTTGTCAATCAAAATATATTCATTGAATATCTGTGTTGCTTGGCACTGTGAGGGATACCACAAAACAAAGGACACAATCCTTAACATGAAAATGGTATCATTCTCTAGGCTTCAGCTATGGTCTCAAAATTCTGTTCTCTCAACCTTAGACAAATGTCATTCATGTCACAACCAAATACTACTCACAGGGAAACACCCCTCTCACCCATAATGACTAAGGCTCTGAATGAAAGTCTCTGCAGTCTATATAGCTTGGCTCTCTGTGGCAATGTTAGTGTTTTCAAAGTATGTGCTGAGAAATCCTAGAGCTTTGCAAAGGTGCCTAGTGTTCTGCAAACATTTTACTTGAGTTTCTCTTTATATACATATATATCTGTATGTGTACATACATTCATACACTACATGTATATGTAACTAATATTTCAACTAAAATATTTGAGAAATACTATAGCCTAAAAATATACATTCAAATACACTTTTGCTGTTGAATCAGTATTGTGCTTCTCTCAGATGAAAGAAATTCCTGCCATCTCTTTCTAATTGAAAAGTATTCTGAGACTTCAAGGCAAATTCTAACAAATCTGAAAAATTGTTATAACATGATGGTTAAAGATAATGGCTCTCGAATCAGTCTAGATGCCACCTTAAGCACAGGTATTCACCATGCAACTTTGAGCAAGTTTCCAAACCTCTCTGTACCTTAGTTTCCTCATCTGTTAATGGGATGTAGCTCACAGAGTTGTGAGAAATAAAAGACAAACATACAAAACACTTAGAAAAGTGACTTGGCCAATATAAGTGCTCAATAAATGTTAGACATTAAAATTTTTATTCCAACTACTTATTTACAAAATCCACCTTTTCTTGTACTTATTTACAAAATATTGCTTTCTTACAATCAAAAAAGTATGGAATTGCATTAAATTATAAGATTGATTTGCAACTAGAAGTCCCAGTTTTCAAGTTTTTGTGTTCATCAAACAGCTGAATTGTTATTGATTAATTTTATAAGTATTGCAAATTTGAACTAATAAATAAATTTGTACTAACTAAATACTACTACTCTGATTTATAGATTAGGCCGTATATAAAATTTTATTAGGAAAAAATTCTGTAGCTTAAAAAGTATATGCATCATAAAGAAATTTATGTTTTTATGCTCTGTGTTATCTCATTCCAGGGGAAAAGAATTACCTTTTCAAAATATGTTTGTTTTTTCATGTCTACCTAGCATTTAATGCTTACTTTTGAATAATACATATTGAAATCAAATTATAAAGAAATATTAACCCCTTTTCTGGTAGAATGAGGTGGTTGATGGTTGATTGGTTGATGATTACTCTTATCACCAAAGATTTCATCTCTGCTGTGTTTCTTTCAAGATAAGTTATTTTCTTGACAGTAGGACTGATTAAAATATTAAATGATCTGTGTTTGTTTCCTCTGTCTTTTCTTGCAGTCATTCCCAACATAGCACTGCAACCCGTCAGCCTTCAGTGACTCTCCAACGGGCCATCTCCCTGGAAGGGTAAGATACATAGCCTCCTCTTAACATAACTGTGCAGCCTTTGAACATGAGGAAAGTCCTCCTTCCTCCCTCTCTCCTTCCCTCCCTTCCTTCTTTCCTTTCTTCCTTTCTCTCTTTCCCTCCCTGCCTCTTTCTCTCTCTCTCTGTTTCTTTTCTCTTCTCTCTCTCTCACACACACAGACATATACACACCTTTTTTTATTGAATCAGCAAATATCTATGAAGCTCATGTTGTGTGCCAAGCACTGTGCTAGGTACTGTATTTAACAAGTCAAATAAGATCTCTTTTTTCTCTTCAGAGGGCTCATTGTCTAGTATGAATGACAGAAATACAAACACATACTTGCAACACAGTTTAAGCATTATACTGTATAGGAAATATGTATAAGGGGTTACTGGAAGATCCAGGAAGGGTACCTAGCTGAGAATTGGCATCAAACGGGGAGAAGGGAACAGGTCAGGGTGGTTTCAGAAAAGATGTAACTCTATAGCTGAGAACAGAAGCATGTGTAGATATTTGCCCAATGCTACAAATGCATGGATATTCCTTTAAGGGAAGAGAGGATAAACTAACATTTACTGAGTGCTTATTACATGCCAGGCTCTATCTATCTATCTATCTATCTATCTATCTATCTATCTATCTATCTATCTATCTATCTATCTATTCCTTTCGCTATGTATACATATCACCTATCTATCTATCTACCTACCTTATCTGGTTTGATTTCTAAAAAAAGTCCTAGGAAATAGGTATCTTTTTTCCTAAACTTTGATTCTCAGAGAGGTTAAGTAATTTTCCCAAAAGCACTTACATAGAAATTAGCACAGCCTGGATTTGATATCAAGTCTGACTCCACTATATAGCTCTGTCCTCTATAATATGGTATAAAAAGACTTTATTGAGCTGAAGATAACTGGTCACACCCTTCATAAACTACATTTAGGCTAAGTTAGACATAGTAAAGAGTTTTCTAGTGAAAAAATGATAAAGAACTAGAATCAACTCTAACCTTAGAAAGTTAAATAGAACCAATAACTTGCTGTTTTGGGTGGTTCTGGAGGCCCATGTGTGTGCTATGTGGCTGAAGTATTGTTTGCAGTAGAGATGAGGGAGTGGAACTAATCTCACTACTTCTCTCCACCTTAATTCTTTGTTCCTTATGAAGACATCTCTCAGCAGGACACAGGGTAGCTATCATTTCACATTTTAGTCACTAACACAAAGAAGACTTCCTCCAGCTATGATAAATAATGGCATTTCCTTCTAAGGCTATTTCCAAACTTTTTAATCTTATTAACAAAAGCTTATTAGCAGTTTGCTAATAAGCACTTTTTTTAATTTTCCATTGTTCTCCACTTGAGTTAAATGAACTCTGTGATAGATATAATCACCAATTCTAATTATCTGATAAGATAAAGCCAAAAAACATAAAGACCTTATCCTGACTTCAAAACCCAAGAGTGACTTCTTTTCTGAAAAACAACTGTAGAATCAGCTTCATAGTGCTCCATTGTTCCAACTAATATAGTTTGCCATATGTCTAGTAAATGATGCAGCATAAATAACATTCTGTTGCATGCAAGAGTGGAAGAAAACTAACTCTGGAATCAAAGAGTTAGGTTTGAATCCTGGCCTCTGCCATCTGTTGTCATTGATCTTAAACAAGACCCGTCACCTCTCTGAGCATGGATTTCCTCAACAGCCAAAGGGAAAAATAGTATAGAACTCATCCATTTTTTAATCAAAGTAGCAGGTACACATTAGACCCTCAATAAGTACTAGTTAAATATACACTTAGTCCAAATGTTCTGAAAAAACAAACAAAACCTTTATTTTTATAGCCTAGATTAGTTTGAAGATCTACCTTGAACACTGCTTTTAAATATATATATACACATAGGTATATATGTATTTATATAAAACATTTCTGGATATAAAACATTTGAGGTAGAAATAACTTTACATTGCTGGAATATTTGAAAAGGGTAGTCTCAGTAATTCTCTACAAAGTCCAGAACACTAAAGGTCATTCTGTATGTGCCCAGCTGGCTGTCAGATTAAGAAATAATGTAGCATATAATCATTGTTACTAAAGCACGTAGTGGGAAAGTTATTTTTCATCTTACACAGGCCAATGAGTCGTTAGCAGGTTTCCCATTAAGGTGTTATACTGCTGAGTGTGGGCAATCAACTGAAATTGGAAATTCCATTATTTCAGTACTCTTCTTTCTAATGCTTCTGTGAAGAGCAGCTACATAGGATATTTTTTAAATGAATGTACTTTAAAAGGCCATATGTTTATATAATTTTCATCTAAGTTGCTATTTACTTGACATAAAATAAGTGAAGATATTTCAGATTCCCAGTTAATTTGATCCATGGAGACAACAAAACTATCTAATTGAGCCCTCTACCATAGAGTCGCTGCTGTTTTTAAACTGATATCCGAATCATCTATAACTATGCCAGACAAGATGAGACACAATAACATCCCCATTAGCAGTGCGAGCTCTGTGTTTCAGGTTCAAATTGACAGACACAGCCCATACCTTAATCTCCTCTCCCTCCTGAGACCCTATTAAAAGGAAGCTAATGGAACAATAATAATAACAAAGGACAGTCCCGTAGTGATAAGGGAAATAGAAGGGAGTATCAAAGGTCAAAAGGTTTCATCACATTTCTGGACAACAGAAAGCTGACAGAAGGGTATTGATTGATGAAGCAGAACAAAGTAATCCCAGACTTAGATCACCGATGAAGGCAGAGCCTTGTGCTGTTAGACTCCAGAAGGCACCTTTCGCATGGTATTCTGTGTGAATGGTATCTCCTGGAGTTATGTTTCCAGGAATGACACCCGTTAAAGTCTCTACCACGGTGCAATAGCACTGTGTGCAGGGGCCGTCAGCTCAGAAGAGAGCAGACCTGCCCAGAAGAACCCAGAAAACTCAGGGAATTCCAGATAGTGACAATGATGGGGACTGAGAGCAGAGTCTGAGAATAGGAATGAAGATGCCATTTAGCATACACACCCCTGCACCCAGAACAGCTTCCAGGCAAGTAATTACCAGGAGTCAAAAAAAAAAGAAGCTGCTTCTCTGTAGAAATGGAATCCTTCTCCTGTGGAACCTAGACAAGCTAGTTTGAGAGTTGGTGCCCACAGAAAAGCCCTTCACAGTGTGCTAGTTGGAGAGATAGTTTCTGGTTTGCTCACCTAACTGGAAGCCTTCCAGTTAGAAAGCCTTGCCCTTGTGTCCAATACCTACTGCCAGTCTTTCTACTTTATTCTTAAACATAAACAGACAGCCACAAGTTACTAAACATTTTTTTAAAAAACCTGAAAAATGACAGAGACAAGGTTAATACAGACATACACAGAAAAAAACTATCCTCAAGTAAAATAGATAATTCTGAGAACAAAACAAAATTTGAAAAAAAATACTTAGTATAAGCATATCTTCTAGCAATATGGAGGTAATCATAATGCCAAAGTGGTTAAAAGGGATTCCCTCTGGGAAGGCAGGTGGGGTTCTCAGGGGAGACGACACAAATTGAATTTCGAGGAATGTGTTTGGAGCAAGGCAGAGGTTAAAAACAAAAGGAAAGAAAAGAAAATCATGTGCAAAAGCCTAGATGTACTTTGCTAACACTGCTAACACTGAGATGTATCTTCAGCTACTCAAAAAGCTTTCTTTCATCCAGGAGAGGGCACTTTATTTTGTGCTACCTTACAAGGTCATTTTAGCGGCATACTTAGAAATAGAATTTTCTAGTAACTAGTGTTTTTATATCAGTAGAACAACTGCCCTGGAAGATGTAGACTACCCTTTGTAAGTAGCACTTAATAGGAAACTGGACAGCTTTCTTCAGGGGTATTACAAAAGGAATTCTTTATAGAATAGATGGTTGGTCTAACTGACCTCAACCAAAAATGTCTCCCAAATCCAGAAGTCTATGAGAAAACTAAAAAGTGGTCTTGCCTATAAATAGATACATCTAAGGGAACCATCCTTTCAAGTTAACTGGTCTGTGATAGTATCACTGTCATGTTTCTTTCCAGGACAGGCCTAACTCCATGGGGAAAACCGTGTACCTCTGTTTGGCACAAGAGATATCCTTCCCATACCCTAAGACCACTCTAGGCTCAGGTTATAATGGCATCATTGGTGGTCCCGTGTTGGGCCTGACCAGGTATTCTTTGCAGGGAACCCTCTGGGAACAAGACCTCTAATGGAATTCTTCCCTCTCTAGTGCTCTACCTGATCCCTTTTGCTTAGATAGGAGACACTTATATACAGCTAACATGCTTCATATTTCCTTGAACAATGCTGACTTAAAAGACTTAGTCTTCTTGTCTAAGAGCCCAGATATTTGGTTCCAAAATATATGGTCACTGTAGAAAGTGACCTGAGAATCAGGAAGTCATTGTTGAGTCAGGACCTATAACCAAGGTCTGCCACTTCTTACAGTGTGATTTTGGGCAAGTATCTGTTACTTCATATACAAAGTCATCAGGTTGAGTTAAATAATTAATGTCTCAGATGCCTTTCAATTCTAACGTTTTGGAGATGAAGGTTTGGCATATGGAAATATTACTAGATATGAAGCCTAAACATTTAAGGAACCATTGGGCTCTAGGTAGCTGGATTTTTGGAGCAGTTGACTTGAGTTACCTCTAACCACACATTCAGACCTATCTGTCCCTCAGGATTCATAATCAGCATGAATGCTCAATTTCCTTCAACACATATCTGCACCCTGCCCCACAAAAGCAGTGCTAAGTACTGTCTGAGGGAGCCTGGTATGCTGGTCAATACACTACTTTTTCAGACTTGAAAAGAGCTCTTATTTGGGTTGTTAATTGCTAGGGTCACTGGCCGGAAATCTGAGCCTTTACTAACCACAGAAATTTAAGTGATTCTACCAAAACAGAGAGGCAAGTTGGGTTAAGTGCAAGGAATTTTTGTCTATCTTTAGAATGTATTAAAATTATATAATC